GAATGCTTAGGAATTTTCAACACCAAGGTCCAAAATCACCTATTTGAGTTTAAGAAAAGTCATGCATTACCTTATCTTCTGGTTTGTGCTCTAAAACCGGATGCCAGCAATTAACCAATTAATCTATGACTATCCCATTTAGAGGTCTGAGTAAGCCATGACTGCAAACTAGTGCAGCCAGCGCTCAGGCCCTGGAGGCACTTGTGCTTCTTGTCCTGTCATGTTTTCTGTGAGAAGGTCTGTTACACAGTAACCAGAAGATCACATGTTTACATGAATTAGTGACCATTTGTATATGAGCTGCATAATTTAAAATGAATTTACCGTATTAGATAATAATCTGCTACAATTGTGTAGTGCTTGAGCTATATGATATGCTTTGTTGTTAAAATAATAATAAATGGCCATCAATTTGACAAAAAGGGTGACATGTCAAACTTTCTATCCCATTTTGTCACTTTCCTCTATTGTGTTCTAAAAAAACTTAGCAGTGGTGTAAAGGAAGCTTTGCTAGCTGCGATCAGTGTGTATGGACCAGGAATGAACAGCAGAGATAGAGTACAGAGAAAAAAAAACGTAGAGCAGGAGAGGAAGAAACAGATGGTTTTCTACAAACACTGCACAGACAGTGTTTGAAATCTCATCTGTCTCTGCGGCTGTGTCCTCTGGACCATGCCTGAAGGTAATCAAAACTTAGTTCTGGTGATATGTCAACATAGGCCTGTGTTTTCCTCTCATGAAGGGGGGGATGTTTCCATGGATCCTGGACTGTCCCACTTCTGTACAACAAAATCAAGCCTGCTGGGAGGCAGGCAAGGCCAGCTCCTGATTAGAAAACTACGTGCAGTGGAAGCAGCTGGCCTGGGCAGGGAGGAGGAAAGTGGTGTTATCTAAAAAGCAACTGCACTGGGCCAGCAGGGAGGAAAAGCTTACAGAGAAACAGGAAGCACAGACAGGGCAGAGCAGTCATTTGATAGGAAAATGCTCCTCAGTGGTTCTTAACACAGGTGTACAGAGAGAGACAGGGTGAATCAAGTGGTTTAGAAGGTTACTATTACATGGGAAGCTGCTCTGCTCTGTTAGAAAAAAGAACGGTAATGAAACAAAGACAAATCTATGGCTTTATTTGCCTTCAGCTGTGGTATTAGACACAAAGATTTTAACATCAGGGTGCCAAATACTTCCAAATGGGTGTTGCATGGCTGGGTCGTGATGACAACATGTTGACCTCAGACAGCTCTGGTTCTCCAAGGCTATTAACTTATTCATAGTTGGCTTGAGGAGAACATGCTGAATTATACACTGAGGGAGGCCAGACAGCATGGACTGCAGAGGTTTCAGTCATTAGTGCAGCTTCACATTTACCTGTAAGGCCTATGAGAGTGAAGTAGAATATAATAATGAATATATATTATATACCAGAGGGTTAATTTGCAAGTCATTAAAATGACTTTTTAATGCATCAAATGTTTTCAGTTTGCTTATATTTTTGATGATCTAGCCTCTAATTATATTTGCGGCCAGCTAAAGATTTTGTATTTTTAAATTATACTGTAAGATGATTGGTGGATTAAGATAAACTTTATTGACCCAGAAAGAAGTCAAAGATTTTCACTATAATAATTTTTTTGAGCACCATTCTAGATTTGTATTACAAGTAAACAAGCGTACAAACAATACAACTGCCATATAAAAGAAAAATAAATCACAGAAAAATACCAGTATAAATAAAACACAATCTGCATTAAACAATGAAGTAGCATTTAAAAGAAGTGAGATCTGTTCACTAAAGTCAAATAAAATCAGGTAAGGCTTTCGGATAGAAGTAAGTTTTAAGAAGAGGTTTAAGAGAGGTTACTGACACTGCTGACATCATTCATTCCAAAGCTCTGGGGCTCAAACTGTGAATGCTCTGTCACCTCTAGTGTTGAGTGTCACCTCAGGAACAGATAAAAGACCTCTGCCAGAGGAGTTCATATTACACACAGGCTCAAATACACTTTAGAGCTCAGATACTGTATATGCTGTAGCAAGGACAGAGGCTGTAAAGAGCTTTATAAGTAAGATCTTAAAATCAATTCTAAAACATACTGGGTGCCAGTGCCAAGAGGTGGTCACTTCTCTTACAGTTAAAAGCCTCACAGCTGAATTCTGTACAGTTTGGAGCTGACTAATGGATTTTAGACTAAAGCAAGTGAAAAGGCTTGGCAGTAGTCCAGGTGTGAGGAGATGAAGGCATGTAAACACAACAGTATACATAACATACAGTACAATCTACAAATACAATAGATAAAAGGAATGGAGGTATAAATTACAAATGATGATGTATTGCACGAATGAAAGTGCAGTCAGCTGGTGGCAAATGTATGTTATAAGCAATGAATGACATAGTATAAAAGGTGCATCTATGTTACAATATGACACTAGAATTCCAACAGTATTCTACCCTCTCTATTCTGTAGACACAACCTCTATTGCATGTCTGTCCATCTTCCTCTGTTCCTCTTCCTGAGATTTCTTCCATGGTTTCTGCTGAGTTTTTCCTTCTTACCGGGTCTAAGGACAGAGTGTGTTGTATGCTGTACAGATTGTAAAGCCCCTTGAGGAAAATTTGTGTTATTGAGTTATATAAATATGTTTGACATGACTTATCTATCACTATTAAAAATAGTACAGACAGCTGGACCTGAATTACCATAATACAAATTACAAACAAAGAAATATGGCATATGAATCAGGAAAACATATATTTCATTAAGAGTTGTAGCTATTCTCGCTTTGATTTTACAGAATTTGCACAAATGTAATCTGCATTATAAACAAATATAGCTCAGTAAGAGATCCAACCAATCGCCCTACTTGCATATGCAGTATCAACCATATCACCCTCTGTACATCTTAAATAGACCTGCTATATGTTTGTTTCGTTATCACTTTGTTGTTTCACATCTGTATTTCTTTCTGTGTACCTGTTCTTGGCACCTGTCTGATAAAGTTGATGGAATTAATAAATATAAGGATAACCTCTTTTAATATATTTATTTCCTCACATGTATTGGCTCACTTCTGGTGTTGGCCCTTTATGTAACACTGCTATTTCCTATATGACATATGACTGCTGCCCATTGTTGTTTTTCCTGTAACTTTGTTGCTATTCTTGTTCTGGCACTTGGAGAGCAAATTTTATTCTCGTTCTGAAAAAACTGAAGCCTATTAATTTGACAGCAGAACCTCAGAAGGCATTTCCAAGCATGTCCACCTGTACAATTTTTTTTTTGTATACTTTACTGTAAACAAATTAATTTCTAATCCATCTAAGGGCATTTACTTTTTAAACTACACACATTGATAACTTCAAGCAATCGTTTAATTTTGATGTGCTCTTTTATGGCACGCTGTGAAACTTGCGTCATAAACATGACATCGTATTTAAAAAATATGCTTACTGTTATGTGTTAATCAAGACTAAACTCTACAGATCATCTGGAGCAACACACACTTTAGGACACATATCCCTGTATGACTTTAGAATAGATAACTAATAATTGAGCGGGCAACTAAATATTCAAAAACACTACGTAATCCCAGAGTACATTGCTCCACTGTCCGCATTACCTAATCCCATAAGGCATCGCGGGGGGCGGGGACATGGCTAGTTGTCAGAGCAACCTGAATGTCATTAGATTTATCCCACCCTCAAAATCATCTCCAGCCAATCAGAGGTCGTAAAAATGACATCATTGTTATTTTCTGTAGAGCTGTAGCTTAGAGGTGGATAAAGTTCGTCTCCACGTTGGAAGTGATAGAAAGTATTATCCATATCCAGACAGTGTTCCTAGATTTTGGAAAGGGGGATAACTCGGAGAGGATACTTGAGGTGTAAAAACACGGAAGCTCGGCGGCGGGACAACGAGGTTTTTGTTGATGATCGCACGGTTCAGATGAGAAAAGTTTGGAGGACAAAGTTGTCAAGTGAGTTGAACTTCGACAATAGGCGCACACGATCACAAGACGGTTGAGAGACTGAGTCACTGGACATATGTAAACAGTCGATTTTGGACTTTTTCTAAAGGAGAAACTATCTCCCTCAGGGTGATAAAAACTTTATGTCCCGAAAAATGGAAGCGACATTCTACGACGAAGCCCTAACTGCGTCCAACTCTCAGCATGACGGGACGGCAGTGTATGGGTTCAACCCCAAAACCCTCAAACAGACTATGACACTGAACCTAAACGATCCAAAAAACTTTAAACCTCATCTGGGAGCCAAGGCCCTGGACATCCTGACGTCCCCTGATGTCGGGTTACTGAAGCTGGCCTCGCCTGAGCTGGAGAGATTAATTATCCAATCCTGCAGTGGGCTGACGACTCCCACCCCGACCCAGTTTATCTGTCCCAAGAACATCACCGACGAGCAGGAGGGCTTTGCTGAAGGCTTTGTGAGGGCACTGGCTGAGCTCCACTACCAGCAGCAGATACCAGCCGTTCACCCTGACGCACAGACCGGCGCCACTAACAGCATGGCGCCCGTCTCTGCTGCGTCCGACAGCGGCGGGCTTCCCTACAGCTGCACGGTTCGCACCGAGCCACCGGAGTACACAAACTTGGCCACTTTCAGTCGGGCTGTGGGGTCTGCGTCCGCACCTGCCAGCGAAAGGCAACGCTGTCCCCCATCGACATGGAGACCCAGGAGCGCATCAAAGCGGAGAGAAAGCGCCTGAGAAACAGGGTGGCTGCGTCCAAATGCCGGAAAAGGAAGCTGGAAAGGATCTCCCGGCTCGAGGAGAGGGTCAAAAACCTGAAGAGCCAAAACACGGAGTTGGTTTCCTCTGCCAACGTCCTCCGGGACGAGCTGGCTCTGCTCAAGCAAAAGGTCATGGATCACGTTAACAGCGGGTGTCAGCTTATTTTGACGCAGCAACTCCAAGCTTACTAAACTGTCCGTGGACACTTCTTGAGGACCAAATGCAGTTTAAGGTGGCCTGCTCAGCCTTATAGAAGAGTCCCTGCGTCTGACTTCATTTTCCAACCAAGTTATCGACTCAGGCTGCAGTTATCCAGACAAACGCTGTCTGACAAAATCCCGTAAATGATCATCATGATGAATTATAATGCAGAAAGTGGCCGCGAGCTTATTGCACAGACGCACGGCTCAGAGGAATCCTTTGCTCTAAGTGCCCCTCTGATGTGACTTGTTACACATTTCAGGCAATTTTGTCTTTCTCTCTTTTTTTTTATTTCCATCCAAAACTATAACATCACATTTGTATTCAGTCAAGCCAAGGCAATACATATGGAAAGTGTGTTTACCTTAGCCATAAAGTAATTATTGGTTGATTCTGGCCCTGAAGTCTTCCAACATGATAGGACTGGCAGAGTTCCTGTGGTGTCAAATTGCAAATGGACAGAAACACAATGTGAACCAGGCCTTGCCCTGCAACTCTCCCACTATGTCAAGCACTGAGAAGGCTGTCCCACCAGCGAATACATGAACAGAGTAACACTAACAGAAATGTTTCAGGTGTGTGTAGCGTTTACTGACAAAACTGCCTTACTTTCTTAACCCTTATGTTCATACAACTTTAAGATAGGTGTAACTAATGTTAGACCTCAAATAACACTTTGTAATATTTGTACGCTGTATTTTGAGCACTTCGACTGTAAATATGACAAAATAAAACGTCGAACACGCTAGATGTGTGAATACTTCTTGTATAGTCAGGGCAGGGAGGTTTATATCGATATTTTAAGTGTTTTTATGAGGTGGCGGACGGGATATTGAGTCACCAGTGTAGCGTGAGGTGCTTGTAATGGTGGGCGAATCGACACGACTTCCCATTGGACAGCTTGGTGTCGGAAGTGAGCCGCAGACAGCCAAATATGGTAAGAGGTCCCGAGTGCGCACTGGGATGGGCTTAGGCGTGTCTGAATCACCGTCCTCCCACTACAGCTGGTGACTGACAAGAGGCCTGGTATGTTTACACCTTCTGGTAATGCGTTTGAAATACAGAGGAATATTTTGTACAAAATATTTTATTTCCAGAACTACAGTTTAATATAAGTTACATAAGCTTTGCGTATAAAAGATAGAATCTATGCACATTTTGACCTGAACCAGATGCTTCACACAAACATGGCAAACAGATATTCTAGTGCACTGTGACAATGCAACTTGATCTGTTCATATATACCATGGACCACCTACTGGAGGACAGGAGAGCAGGCAGTTGTGCCTGGTAGACTTTTAAAGACACACACGCACAGGTACTTTCACTTATAACTTGACTGACCTTCTTCTCAGGAAGGGCAACATCTTACTCACATCTCTGTTGCACCTGTCAAGGTGGGATCTGTTCCATCTTTCTTATTGGTCCACTGCACTTGATGACCCAACACAGGCTATGTCTCATCACAGTGGTGCCCCCAACTTTAACCTGACAAAATCTAATCAGCCATTAAACACAAACACTAGTGTGTAACATACAGGACCGGTGTTGCATCAAAATCAGTTTACCCATCAAGATGTGTTTCCCCTAACACATAACCACTGAGTGCTATGTGAACCTGAGTTTTAAATAGAGGGAACATTTTGACACAAGACAGGTCTTGTATTGAAATCTGTTCTCTCTTAAAACAGTGTCCAGTAGTGCCCTCCTCAATAGTTGTCTTTAGGATGTGGTTGAGTACAGGTTATGGGAAACGGATCTTGACAGGGGAAACAACATCTGACACAACACTGGTAAAACTGTTTAAATATTTTTAATCCTTCCGATGACACTTGGGAGTAACCTGGTCATATACACAGTGATTAGATGTGGGCCTTTCTGTTTACGTACTGCGTGTTCTTATCAACAGTTGTGGTGCATGTCTGTTAACGTGAACAAGATGAACTGCTTTCAGTGGCCAAGTTGCACACTGTTAAGACTTTCATACCCACACACACCCTAACACCAACACTATGTATGGGCATGCACAGCTGCTGAAATATCTTACAATTAAACACTTTCAATATTTTGCCATTATATGATATTCTCATCATAAAACAACTCATTCTCTGTCTTTCTGTGCAATGATGCGAGTTTCCAGGTCTCATAAGCTTTCAAGGTTTTTAGGACACACTATTCACCATCCATTTCTTTTTGGACACTGTTTGTGTTTGGGTCCTGATGATATCCACAGCGCATATAGAGTCCTGTGGCATCGCTGGTTCTCAACTGACGAGCACACCGTCTTTTGCAGCAAGACGCTGCCAGTGTATGTGGTCCTGTTCTAGTTCTTCATGGCTGGGGTGCCAGAGCCGTGACAGGATGCGCTCCATGTTGAGGGAGTACATAGTGTGGGAGGGCATCACCCCATGGTGAACCTACATCAGGACAATGTTACAAAAAACAGGAATGCATATACAGTTCTGTGAAGTAGAAATAATAGAGGTCCTTACGTTTCACATTTAGAACCATAACAAAAAAGCCACCTGAGATTACATTTATTTAATGAAATATTTACTGCTAATTGTGAATAAGTTAAGTACCCTATGTATGTGAATGTCTCTTACTGAAATGTATGCTTTATGCTACCTCTGTGCGTTTCTTGGTGGACATGTACATGCACTAAACCATATTAAGAATTTCCAAACTGCTATGGATAGTTTCACATACTGTAAGTTCCGTGTTGACAACCTTTCCTTCTGAAACGTACAGGTTATATACAGGTAATATTGCATATTGTCAATTTATGAGGCTTGAGATTACAGGGCAATGTTTATAGATGTTATTAACTTCGCCACAATCAAGACTGACTTAGGTTCAATCCTACATCATTTCAAAACACCACAAACTTGTCAAATCAGTGGCGCCCCCTGGGAACAAAACATAATTTGCAGGGTTAGAGTCATTAAATTTGAATGGGTAATGGCCATTTTGTGATCTTGACCTGAACCCTCAACTTTGGCAATATGTGTTGTCCACATACATTATTGGAGATATAAATAAGCCATGTGATACATTTTATTTATCATGTGTGTTCCAAATGTACGCACAAGTGCTGCAGATAGTTAAGACTGGGAAAATACATAAGCATGATTTATTTTTACCTGCAAAGCCTCTAGGAGATCAAACATATTGATTGGTGGGAGGGGTGCTGGGAGACTGTCAGCAGAACAAGCCAAAAGGTGAACAGCTTGCTGCTCAGCATCATCAGGTGACACCTGAGGTGGTGGGCCAGCAGGAAGAGAAGCACTCGGAGGGGGGCTGCAACAAAGAAAGTTATTCTCTCTTGAACTCTAAATAAAAAAATTGTACAAGTATTAAATTGAAGCCTTATTGACAGCAAAGAGCAAGTGAATTGTATGGATGAAAAAGCCAGAAAACATTTAAAACCATTACTTCACACAGTGATGAGTGGCAAGAGAAAGGTTTAAGTCACAGAGCATGTCAGCTAGTAAGACAGAGATAACACAGTTGCTCCTACTATTCAGTAACATTGTGGTAAGCAGCAAGGCTGTTTTTCAGATAAGGCTGCGGCATGACATTACTCCCAAAGGCATAAGGGAAATGACCATCCCGTAACCGATACGCCTTCCTCCGGGTGATTACAGCAGTCAAGACATCTTTCAAGTGGTGCTGAAACACATCAGAGCAGTAAGTCAAGCTTTGCTCAATCTGCTGAATAAACACAGATGTCACTCAAACTTAGTAAATGGTGAAAAAAAAATCCATAATCTCCCACCTCACCCACACAACCACTTCTTCACATAATCGCCTCACAAACCTCAACAGCGTATGTCATGGTGCTGACAGCATCATCTGTGATGTTATCCAGGCCCATTTCAAAGGCCGTCACCATCATGCGGGCCTCCAGCTGACTCCGTGTGGGCAGCAGCAGAGTATGGGCACTAAGACGCAGCTCATCCTCATCACCTCCCACCTCCCGGGGACTGAATGGCTGGGCCGTGCTCAGAGGGTTCTGAGGCTGGAAACGATGCTGAAGACATCAACAAGACATATAAACGATAGAGAATTATTTAAGCTCCCAGTGATTACATACAGTTAGCCTGAGTGGATGAACAGTTGTGTGTGTGTGTGTGTGTGTGTTGGTGTGTGTAGGTAAAGGCTTGGTGTAGTGGGCCCAACTAAACAAAACTCCAGTTAGTGAGAGAGTGCCCATCTCATGACCATGTGGACTTGCCTTCACTCCTATACCCACACAGAACTTCTATTGGTGTTGGTGATAATATGGTTACAGACTCGCTGGAATTGTTAATAGTCTTCTTCTGTTAGACAATCTTGGTACAAAAGTGTCAGTGGTTGGACAGCTGAGCAGACCAAGCTCTGAAAGGTGACCGCCATTACAAGCCAGTTGGGTCAGCCACTGCTTAGCCTGAGTAATTACAAAACACATGCTATGTGTCAAGCCACATATCTGATCTTTGCTTGGTTGAGGATATAGTTCAGGAATGCTTTATGTTAAGGTAGGTTAGGTCTAGAAAATGGTACTGCTTGTTGTGGGGCTCTGAAGATTTTTGACGGCATGGCCTGACACCCCCCTCTTTTGGTAAGCATAATTTAACTCATAAACTGAGCTTCCATATGAATGCTCTCCCCTTTTTTGGCACATTTAATTGTGTATTAACGGCTGCTAGGTGCAACTGACTGTAAAATATATCACAAAGCCATAACTTGGGAAATGAATTAATATGACAACATACATCAAACTTCTGTCTGGAAGAAGATTTCTTCTTTCCTTTAGGTTTGCCAGGCTTTGAAGCAGAGCCACTCTGCCACTGTAATGGACCTGTGCCCTCTAGAAGACAGAGAAAGGTTTTAGAAAAACCAAAGGCAGCAAAGCAACTTATAATGATGAGACTTTCCTTTAATTAATTATTCAAAATTTCCAATATTGGAAACTTCTTTCTGTTCCTTGAACAGTGAACCATCAACATATATCTCTTTACTTTGTAATTACAGCCAGTAGGTACACACTGAAATATGATTCATAAAGGTTTTGAATACAGGCTATTTTATCTTCTGTTCTTTGTTAATTGAATTTGTTGCTAATGTGTCTGCTCCATTACCTAAAACAATCAAAGTTACATATCAGATACATAGAGCTAATAAAAGGTTACATCAGATTATTGTACTGCAGGTTTGTCTGAAACAACTTTAACATAAATACAAGCATATGGGCAGGTTCAGAACATTGTGAGTCACATCCTACCTGGTGTGGAAATGATGATTTGGCATCGGGTGAGAATGGCCAGAAGGAAATCGTTGTGTATATGGACTGCAGAGGAAAATACATAATGAGCAACACTTTTCCCACACAGCATTAATACTAAAGCTAGATTTGTTTTCTGGCCCACTAACCATTCTCCTGTGCCAACAGACGACGTGCCTCAATGTCAAACTCCTCCTTGCTTATCTTTTGTTTGAACCACAGCTTCAGGTTTGCCCAGTAACTGTGTGGGGAGAGACAAATAGTAAACATCAATACAAGAGAAACATAACCTATTCCAAATTTCAGGTGCATTTCCAACAGTCTTTCATTTCACAAACAAACCCATGTTTTACATTATGTCTCATTCACAAGCCATTGTCTTCAAGAAGAGCACTTAAAAGCATAATCTTTTCCTCCTTTTATCCCGATTTGAAACATTTAACGTAACTGTGTCCTCTCACTGACTCAATAACCAGAATGACAACATTTTGTTTTAACTACAATTATAAATGATCGTGTAACATTTTCAGTTACTGTAACGGTACCAAACATAAGTCTTAACTTCTTGCCTTTCTAGCCATATATCATGCAAGTCATTTATTTTAGATGTGCATTAGCTAGAGGCGACAAAAGAGTGCTAACGCCGCAGATTTAGTCGTGAGCTGATAGTGTCCTTTCACGGAACTCTTATCTCTTTGCTGTAAACGCCAGGTAATGCCTGGTTTTTACGATGTTTTATTGCGTGTCCTTAATAAAACCATGGTTGTTAGCTCGTTCTTGTCCCTTCAAGTAAACATTAATGCTAATAATACGTTCGTTACCGTACTTCACATTAAGATGCAGCATTTTACAGGGGAACTTTAGGATTCTTGCTGCACTTTTCGTTAAAGTGGCTTTGGTACAGTAATTAGAAACGTCCGTCCTGGGGCCAAATTAGCTCACGTAGTCTGTGTAACGTCACCCAACCTGGTGTTAGCTTATAGTAATGTCAAAACAAGTGGAAATAGCACACATCACGTTTGTTTTATATCGCATCACGTCAAAGACACATAATAAACAACGTTACAGAATAAGCGCAAAATATTAGCAAACAGAATAACTAAAAGTTACTACTAAGGAGAAACGCTACAAACATTAGCAAGTACTAGCAAGGTGCTATCTGCACAGTGCACACAGCTACATTATGGCTAAATTGTTTTGTATTTTCGCGCCAAAACATGAAATAAGGTCTATAATCAAGGCCCGAAAAAGAAAACAAACAAAACTATACTTACTGCTTAACATTATCACCAATTGCATCCGTTAAATTTTTCTTTGCAATTTCAAGCTCGCTAGCATGAGCCGCCATGGTGTTCATAAACTCCTATAGAGACGTCATCATTCGGCGACAGCTGTTTTACTGTTTTTGTTTGTTTGTTTGTTTGGGGTTTTATTTTGCTCAAAAATATGTCGCAACAAGTACATTTTCATTAACTACATGAGCAGTAACTTGACAATGGAATACAACTTTACATTACAAGTAAACGTATTAATTTAACCAAGCAGTATTTCCTTAAAATAATTAAAAATATATAAAATAATTAAAAAAATAAAAAATAAAATTCGAACAAATGGCTTTTTTTCTTTAAAAGGCTTCTTTCTTGAACAAATTTTACATTCATAAATGTAAATTTTCTAACTGTAAATTCTTTTCCCCTGCTTTTGTCAATGAAATAAAATATATAGGCTATCACTACTATTTTGGACAGTAGGATACAAATAAGAATGCAATCACAAGATGTTGCTTTTGTGTCTTTTTTTAATGACGTGTCTCATTAAAATTTGAGTGGATCATCCACTAGCTTTATGTTATTTGTTTTATTTTTGTTTATTTCTATTTATTTGTTATTCAGTTGTAGCCTATAGATGTCACATTAGTCTACTGTTTCTTTTATGACCTTTTATTTGTACAAGGCTAAATCATCACAATGAATGTTTGTACCTTTATTTCTAGGCTATTTGAATTTCAATGAGGTTTGTTTATAAAAAGATCTACATTTATGCACTTGCTCTTGGAAGCAGGTAGGCTACACGAGAGGGGTGTTTTATGGTGTTTTCTTACATTGCCCATGTTGCTAATATTTTATGGTATTCAGTGCACAGTCAGCTGAATGCCTAATTTTAAATTAAATTCCCTTCTGCGCCCCCTCGGCCTTATATGTACAAGGGTTTTATCATCTATGACAAACTTCGAATCCCGAGCATATCTGCTTTATCAGTCTTTTCATCTGGCACAAATTGAAGACCTTGGTTTGGTACCTCTCATCCAGTGTCAGCTGGGATTAGCTCCAACCCTTCTGCGCCCTTCTGCAGGATAAGTGGTATAGATAATGAATGGATGGTATGGTTTAGTAGTAAAACTACTCCACCACTAGATGGCATGATTTAAACTCTGCAAAGCACTGTTCATTCTGGTACAGAAGAGCTGAGTAAAAAAAAAATCAGACTGGTACATTTGCAATTTGATATGATTTGCAATTTGATATGATTTATCAAAATATCAACCCACATCATAGTGACAGGGTCAATGTGCAGTTTACTCCCAAACTTTAAGACAGTAACAAGCTTTTGGCAACAATTATTTTTGAGACTGAACTTGTTTAGCTCTGAAACATGACATGAGCTACTACAGCACAGTGGGGCCGGTGGAGCCGGAGCTGATGCTTATAAAGTATGGTTGTATTGACATGCAAGTCTATTCAATGCCAAAAATGTAATTAAACTTTTGAAAAGTTATGTAGTAGTAGGATTTACTTTTTCAACAAAGTAAGAGTAAATTTAATTTGTCTGTCTTCCCTGCTTTAGTAATGTATTATGTTAATGCTGACTTTGTAAAGGGAATGTAAGCTTCAGAAAATCCATTTTTAATGATCTCAATAGATTTTTACAATACAAAGCCAGTTGCCAGAATCTGTGTAACAAAACTGAAGAAAGCTGTCAATGTAAAAAATTTATCTCATCCAAGTTTAACCACTGAAATTCTTACCCCACTCAGAGGTCATCTGCTGCCATTTAAAAACAAAATCAACAAAAATTTGAACTACTGCTCAGTGAAAAGATCAGACATTATATTTCCCATTCTATCATAACTGAAATTAAATCCAGAACTGCTGGAAATATTTAAAACCCACCGAGGTTTGGCTATAGTGGGGCATCGACTTCATTTGACTATCTCTTGATCTGGGGTCAGTTTATCTTGAGACATCAAGCCTGGAATATTTTTACAACAGTGTTTAACTTAAGTAAAGATTTGCTCTCTTCTCTGTTTTTGTTGTTTTACCTTAATTTAATTTTATTTTATATCTTTTTTGCTACATTGTAAATAGCAGAAGTGGTACTATAGAAACTGTTGTAAATCTCCCCCTCCACTGTACTGGATGTAAAATATATCTGTGGTTCCATCTGTTGCCCTCTGAGGCTCATGTCTCTTTTTAGCAGGTTTAGGCTGGGAGGCCCTTTTGTTTCTCAATGTTTTAACTATGGTATAAAAACAGTGGACTAGTGGGGTGACTGCTGCTTTGGCTCCATCTCCCCAGGCGGTCGTGAAGCCTTAAACAGACCTCTATGACTCACATCTTTCATCACCATAAGTGAAATCATATACAGTATCCCCAACACATGCAGTTAACAGTCTTACTGTAGACTATTAATGGGTCCAGTTCAGTGACTAATGCTGGCTCCACTGTGTTCTGAGACATACTTCTTTCCAAATGAGATCCATTTGATCAACTTAGGGATTTCAAGGTCTGAGTCTAGAATAAACAAGCATTTCATACCAATCACAGGAACAATGAAAACCAGCAGAACTTTTGGTCAATAACAGATGTATTTAACAGACTAAATGTTTGTTAATACGCATCTAAAACTTCAAGAGCCTACTTTTAATGGCATAAATGCTCCTATGTTTGTTATCTCAGGATTGAAGTTGGTGCTTAGAGTGACTTGTCTCTGTTGGAAAACTCCATAAACTACATCTCATTTTCACAATATCAGCACTGGCTTGTGTGCTTCAAAGTCAAATAAAACATCAATCTACTGTATGTTTTAGACTAATAAGGACTAGAAGGAACCGCAGCAACCTGCAGCTCAGGGAGCATTCCCAGATCCCCCAAATGATCATCCATCTCAAACAAGCGTCTGTTAAGCTTTAAATCAAAAGGGCACTTAAGAAGGAACTTAACTATGGAGCTGTTTAACTGTCCCTGTTAGGGCAAGATTTAGTCGTGGTGGTTATTTTCAAAGAAAGCAGCTCCACACTCTGACTGTTGATTTGCTGGTTAACTGATTTTTTTGCAGGCTAATGAGTCACTCTAATATACCGTCCGCCAACAACACGTCTTTTATAAAACAGTAGCTAACTGTGGTGTGAGCTTCTTTCAGAAATCTTCCATCTGGTGCCATTTTGGTGGCAAAATTTGCAGACAGCAAAGCTTCACTCTGTGACAAGGAGGGCTTTCACCACTGAAATCTCAAGAGGACCACACGGCAGCAGCGCTCTGCCATCTCCAGTCTGTTGAGCAGATATTGGAGGTGGTACAGGCCTGAGTGTGGTCCTCTCTTCTCAGTTCCAGCATCTGACTGCATAGGAGTTTTTTGTAGGTTAATCATGCATTTCCACACTGCCAAGGCTGTTTAAAATGTGAGGATTCAGTGTGTGGTGGGCAGAGTTAAGAAGACTTCAGTTACAGCTTGTGTGGTGATGGAGCACCCCACATGGCCAGTCTGGGTTGCGGTCAGCACCAACGCTGGAGAGGCAGATTGGTGATAGAAAAGTGGCACATTTTAATATTAGTGCCAATCCCCGGACTGGGTAGGAAAATGTGCGTTGAAATTAATCCAGTACTCTCATCATTTTCATCAAATGTTGTTAATGTGTCTGTGAACAAGGTACATAAGCCTGAATTGCTCCAGTAAGAGCTGTTCAGTGGTCATTAGGAGGGAACTGGACAGAACATCCAGTCTGAATCTATACATTTACATTAGATGTTCACATAATTTGCCCATGTTCATTCCTTTTTTCCAGTCTTGTATCTGTATGCTACATAGTGTATGAAGCTAAAAGCAGCAAGCAGTTAGGTTATATTAGCCTATGGCTTTGTCCAAGTTGAACAAACTTAACTATGGTACCTGCCCGTCTGAAGCTCACTAACTAACTTGTAATCAGTTAAAAAACAAACTGTGAACACAACAAACTGAGGTTTTAACTTTGGGAAACAGCGAATGGACACGAATGAGATTAAACACAAACATGACAGAGACTGTGACACACACATGCAGGCATGCAGTCTATTAATAAAGGCATTAGTATCATTTGATGGTTATGATGAGATAAATTAAAAGTCTAGGGTCTAGGGGAGCAGTGTCATACGCTGCACAGATTGTAAAGTCCCTTGAGGACAATGCGCAATTTGTATTATTGGGCTATATAAACAGAATTTGAATTGACTTGAGTCATTCTGCCTTGTTTGGACAGTGGAACAAAAAAAGAACAGAAAACAGTAAAAACTGTCATTCAAGATGTGAGGCAGAGTAGCACTGTTGATATGCCCTTACGCAGTTATCCAAAGAAATGTTAGCACTTGAATTAGTGATGCATATACGGTATTTGTCTTCTCAGCTTTTTCATGTCAACACAAAACACACACATCCAGTCACATTTATGGGAACTCCAAATATTTTCTTTTGTACCTCCTTGTACAAAGACATACATCAGGAAACAGAAACATTTTAATGGCATGACTATACACCCACATGATGAGACTGGAACATGCTTGTCAGCAAGCTAAAGAATTATGGGTCAGTCAACAACATATATCAGCACAGCACATGAAACAAGCTGTTTTAAATCCCAGTGAACAAGAATGTGAGTGACCGTATATGTTCACCATTTGTGTAATACTGCTCTGCCTAGTATTGTGACCCATCAGTTTCAAGTTTTATAGCTGTTTAATTTTGACATTATAATACCTTAAACATGTATCTATGCTCAGCTAGGTTTGATTGATCTCCCTACTTTGTTTTTCTCTAACAAACTTAAAAACATTTGTTACAGAGATGGGTGTGAAGGGCACTGTGGTCAATAAAGAAAACAACCAGCACAATATCAGGGTCCATTTTCAGTTCAGAAACCACAGGCTGTTTTTCTTCCATGTGTGCTGTGGATAGAGCACGGTTGTTCAAAACAAACCCATCAGCTGAAATCGCCCTGGCTCCTCTTCCCTCTAGAATGGTTCCCCTGAAAGGATGCCCCTTTCTTTCCATACTGATGATTACAGAGTGCAGGGTCTCATAACGTTGTCAACTGAGATACTTTTTGTTTTTTACCAAAAAAAAACATTTCAAGTACTTTTGTGTGGAAAGAATGTAAAGTTCTTTGTATAGAAAATGAAGAGAGGGGAAAATAACTTGGAAATTTGGATCGATTACATCCTAGTTCAGCCCCTCTCCACTCCTTTTTTTAAATCCTTTCTGGCTTTGAGCAATGTGTTTCTCGTTGTCGGCCCTAGTGCCTATGACTCTCATCACACTTGGCCAGCATATTTTACATGCTCGAAAACCTCTTAAGACAAAATGTATTTCCATCATTTTTCTTTTCTCTCAACAACACTTGTTTTTCCCAGAGTGATACTGAAATTTAATCAACAGTCAAAGAGGAAAACTATAACAGCAATTTCCGTACGTGCAAACACACTGTGAGAATGATTGTCATGTACACAGTCGAAGAAATGAGTTCTGTTTTCTGAGGGATTGTTTACTGTTCCCTCAGGACACCTGGCCTTTTCACTGTTATGATAAGTTAATTATACACATAAATTGTATTTTCTGGTCGTCTACACTTGGACAAAGTAGTTTAACATACAGCATAAAGACCATTTTAAGTTTAGGGAGAAAAAATAAAATTAGTATGGGCTGTGTTTTATGAAATCTACATAACACATGTTTTTCCAAATCTTTTGATCTTTGGTCTTTTTAAATGTGGAAGCTGATACAGAGTTATGTAAATTTATATTTAATAACAAAATGTATTTTCCAGCTCCCAGCAACTATAACAGATGGTAAATACCACAAATGAGGGTTTTCCCAACATACTGTATATCTTGGTGAGGTAGGAAGAGCTGCATCGAGATCCTGTGATGCTAAAGCTTATGAATAACCAGAATACCAGTAACGTTCTGCAAGAATGTGGCACCTTCTCAAATCAGATGGACAGCTGGCATTATTTAACTGAAATTATTCTCAAATTTCCCTTCACCGTCATATCCATTTGGCAGCTAAAGGAACTGTATGGCTTACTATAAACAGTCACACACCCTAAATCCCTCTATGTGTGCATCTGTTATGATATTAAAAGAGCAACGTTCAGACAGAGTCTATTACAGGATGCAGTTCAAATGGCTGGTAATCTCCACTGGGGCTGTTCACTTTATCTAGGATCAACCACTTGTTGATGGCATATATATAGTTATGATTTAGAATGAGGTTAAAGCTTATCGTGGTCTCCATAACTGCCCATAGGCCAGCCTGGCTTACAGTATCTCCTCAGTCGATGGGTCTGATCATCATACGGACAGCTTTCATGGAGTAGAAGCCTCCGCCATAGTCGGCCCAGAAGATCCCATCTTGGAACTTGCTACGGTAGACACCTCCGGTGTACCAGACACCATTAAGATTGGTTTGGCCACAAGCACTGTACCACCAGCCTCCTTTATGGAAATGTGCGCAGTTACCTGTTGTAGGGGGAGAGGAGAGGTGATGATTAGACAATGAAAGACACATTTGATGTTATATTAAGAAAACATCAACATTTTGACCAAATTTTTCAAGAAAATCTGTTTTTCTTTTGCTTTTCAAGCTACAATTACAAGATGCAAACATATTGCAAGTTACTGCCTCTGCCACTTGCCATGATGAGCAAGTCGGTGCTTGAAAGCTAGCTTGAATGTTAGTGAACAAAAACCAGTCTCCCTTTTTCCCCACAGTTTGTGTACATTTTGTGAAGCACTTTATTCTTTCTTTTACTGTATCTGTAATCAAATAAGGAATTCCAAAATTTACAGCAACAATTTTCTCTTCCATAGACATAATCAGGTTTTCTGCAATTCACTATGGAGCCTCTTGGTGTATTTTGCCCTCATTTGCATTAACTGAAAAACTTTCATGTCCCTTGCTTCCAACATTGTAGATACAAATAAAAATTGAGCACAGTTTGGCACAAAACCACTTAAACTGTTCCAGAAGTTGTAGGTCAGCATATGCTAATGAACAAGGTACTTGCAAGCTTGTAAGTGATGATTTTTTCCCCCACTTCTAATCATTGTTTGATGTGAGTGAACTGTTCATGCAGTTCTGTGGGATTCCATTCACTGTGAGACTCAGCAAACTTGCCGTGACATTGCATTGCTTTCAACTGGTTTATCTGCAGTTCACCACTGTAGTTCCAGAAACCCCCACATCAAAAAGGGGTTAAGATTTCTTTTTTATTACAATACTTTGAAGATGTTTAAGTTTGGACCAACAATAAGACAGGATGCTAGAATGGATGAGAAAACATTAAAACTTAATACCTCAAATTGCAGATAGAAGGCTGCAATTCTGAGAGCCTGAAATTTTTAATAAACTATCATGGCACACTTCAAATGAAACTATATGCTACAAGAGCACAAAGAGACCCCTTGTTCATCTACCTGAGAAGGCATCTTTGTCTCGATCAAGAGTGGTGAACTGTTTGCCATTGTGACTGGCTAACGAATCCCCAGCGTTGCCCTGGTAGGTCCCCAGGCGCAGGCGGTAGCCCTCGCTCTCTGGCTCCAGGTGAAAGCTGTTGTACTGGGCGTAGACCTTCTTTCCCATCCAGTCCTCCAGCTCCACCAGCAGCTTGTAGTCCCCCTGCCTCCCTAAGTTGTAAATGCCTTCTAGGCCGAGCCAGTATTCTCCATCTATGTTGCCAAAGCCGCTCTGATTCAAAGGAAGATTAAAAAGAAGGTTATAGAAAAACAACAGAAAATAAAGAGCATTGTTTGTTATGTGGTAGCTCAAAGAATTTGGAAACATGAGAAATGTTTGTGGACATACAACGTCCTGGTACAAGAGGCTGTGGGCTTATTAAGGATAAATGAAAATTTTTCATTTGTTTGATGACATTTTGGCCCTGTAATTAAGCAAAGGGTCAACAGAAAAAAGTGCTGTGGCCAAAGAATGCTACCCTGTCTTTGAAATTCCTAAGAAAGTCATGTGGTAGAGTTTATAATGGAAAGTAAGCACTGGTCTCAAGAGTGCTGGTTCCACACTCAAACCCCACAGAGCTCTTGGATCACAACTAAAAGTGAAATGGCCCGAGCGCTTGCGCTGAATAACCATGAGCAATCTCCATCTGGCCATGTGCCTCCAGAACACTTCACTTGCTAGAGGAGGTTGAGGTTTGTGAGTGCGGATTAGTTGGGTGAGCCAGCAGATGATGAATGATGCAGGGTTTCAGACGGGGGCCTCTTCTCTGGTGCTGTGTGTGTGTGTACATGTGGTGACTTTGTGGGAAAGCGCAGAGGCAAATCAGTGTTGAAGTGAGCAATTTAACTTCCAGTTACACATGCACAGGCCTGGCTGGGGTGAATGGAACACTGGATCACTGATGCTGCCAGTAACGATGTCCTCCATCTCATTCTCACGGAGCTTTGATGAGAGGAGGACTCTATATGGAGCGGTGCAGTAAGACAATCAGCCATCCATCCATCTGTCCATCCATCCATCCATCCACTGAGGAACCAGAGTAGCAGCAGTTGTGGAAAAAAAAAACAATAGATTGAGCCTCCTAGTGGGCCATCTAGTGTTTCATAATGGGGATCTCAAACCTAATGACCTTGGACAAATAGTGCTGCTGACAGGGCATTTTTTACACTTAGTGAAAACACAAGGATTCTAGCCCAGGATATAGCCCCAGACACTCCATATGGTTCCTCTAAATGGGTCATAGAATAGCACCACCGTTGTCTCTGGGCAAACTAAATATTCAGAGGCTTGCCCAGGATAGGACAGAGAATAAAAAGAGACAGGGCAGGGGGACGTGTCATTGTCATCACCTTGTAGTTATCCCAGTTCCTGAAGAAGTTAACAGACCCGTCTCTCCTGCTCTGGATAACAGTCCAACCTCCGTTGTCTATATCTTGTTCACACCAGACCTGCACTTGCCTCTCTGCTTCGTGTGGTTGGAGGAGGTACATGCCGCTGGTGCTGTGGCCGGCCTCCTGTGCCTCCAGACAGTCTCTGAATGCGCCTGAAGGAAAGAACAGTAGGAAAGGGAGGCGAAGACAGATAGGGACCAGCTGGGTTAAGAACTTGTGTAAATAACGACGAAGGCAGACAGCAGTAAATACAAAAAAGGTTTGAAGTTTGAAGGCTACACATTGGTATGTAACAGCTAGGTTATAAAACCTGAACTTTGTGCATTTGTAGGATAATTAACTGATCTTAACTAATTTCTTTTAACAATAGATTTTTGTTCAAAATTCACCGTTGACTGTCATAACTGCTTTGTGGAGTAATCGTATGAGTGACTTTACAGTACATAACAAAGAAACACAGAAGTCAATGTCTGACAAAGAACGAGTAGCAGCAGATGAGAATAGATCTAACTAAATCATGTTAAAAAGAAATTATTTACATTCATTTGAGGTCAACAAACCGAAATAGATATTTCATTAACCCACTGTTTAAGTGGCTAACATCTGCTTTTCCTCAAGGTTCTTCTCATTACAAGATTTTTAATTACAAGCACATGTCGTAGCGAGTTTATTCATGGGGCGAGTGACCCTCTGATAATATGTTAATAATAATAACGTGAATGTATAAACCATTCACTTCATGAAGTACACCAGATGTTCCTCTACTTTGAAGTTTGCACAATCCTATCATGTCAGTCTACGTCTGATGTGCAATGGAAGGATGGTTTTCATGCACAGCTGCACTGAATCCTACATAATTTATTATTCTTGGGCAAGGGTAATTTAAATGTGTCAGGAATTTCTGTTGATGAACAAAATTGGACTGGTTAGGGTTTTTTCTTTGCTTTACTTTAAATTCCCCTGCCTCACTTCAGACATTACAGCGTTTTTATTTCCATCCTGGTTTGTGTTCTTTCTTCTGAGCAGGGAGCAGAGTTCCAGCTGAATTTGCAAATCTTTAACTTTTGTAAATGAGGCCACCAGCCCGCCTGTAGCTGTGTTCAGAATCAAAGATGACTATTTTACTATAGTTGGCCTGCAAAGTCATGACTGCTATATAGTATATACTTAGGATTTTCATGTCTGAATCAAAGGTTAAATTAATGAAAATTCACCTTCACCACTGAAGTTTCTCTGAGGTGGCTTCTTGACTTCTAGGGTACTACTTGTGGGTGATGGCCCAGAGTGAGAGCCCCTATCTCGAACAAATCCTCGGGCATTAACTCTCTGGATCTCATTGGTGAAACGTGGTACATTGACAGGAATGTTCTCAGGCACCACCTGCACCAGTGGAGGTCCTAGGGGTGGCTGCTCATACCTGCGGCTGTAAACCTGCATGCAAAGCTCTTCCAGTGCTCCAATCAGCAAGACAGGGCTGAATATTTGGCCTCCAGTTCCCTGTACCTGGAAGCCAGGCGCAATGACTCAGTGGTGGCATTAAGGATGCGTGTCTCCAGCTGTGCCAGCTCCAGTGAATTGTCCCTTTTCCTGATGATCTCATGTAGAAGCTGCATGTAGAGCTGGGTGACCCTAGAGTTCATGTTCCTGCTCTCTTTCCTCAACAGCTTCATCTCATTCACCAAATTTCCATCCACATCCACCACCAGCTTTAAAGTCTCCATCTCTCGACGCTGTTTAGACAGAAGGTCACGCACCACAGACACATCCAGGCGTGTTACTCTGTCCTTGTCAGTTGAATATCCCCGGGCAGCACAGATGGGGCCTGTAATCTTCTGTTCAGGGACCAGAAAAGTGTAAGAGCACTTCTTGTTTTCTTCACTGGCCTCTGGAGCCCTTCGTATCCGGGAGAAGATGGGGCTCTTGGTCAGGGCATGGCTGTTGCTCCAGAGGGACAAACCAAACAGAGCAAATAGGCTCCATATTCCAGGTCCCATGGTTCCTTCTCTCTTTATCACCAGCTAGAGATCTGTAAAAAGGAAAAGGAAGAAAAAGGTTTGTGTTATTTTGTATTTTCCTTGCTGTCAAGAAATTCTGTTTTAAAAATACCAAAATCAACAATGTTTTAGTCCAGCTCTCAGTATTTCCAACTTTCCTTTGGCATTCAACCCCAAGCCCATTGGTTCCTAAAGATGTAAATCTTTAGAACAGCTCACACATATAAATTTTCATGTTTATAGCCCTCACAACTCCAGTCTAACACACTAAAGTAAGATGGTGAACATGGTAAACATGTCCTTGCAAAATATCACCATGTTAGCATGTTGATGTCAGCATTTAGCTTAAAGCACTGCTGTGTCTCTACAGCCTCATGATGCTGCGAGTGTGACTGTAAACTCAGTATTGACTCAGTATTGATTTTAAAAAATGCTCAGCAATGTGACAGAACAGCTGGGCACAGATTTTTTTTAAGGAAACAGTACAGATAGAGGAGTAAAGTGCATTTGTCAGGGACTATTTTCAACACTGGATGAATACAGGTTTGGCAGGAGTGTTAACAGCACCAAAACAGAATAGCTGCAAAATAAACTGCATTAGGAACATGTCACCTAGAGCAACAGTGATGGGCTTTTACTATTTTTGGACAACAATGGGAGTCTTCAGAATTGAATAAGCAACTACGTATCAAGCATTGGCTATATTAGTAAGATCAATTCACAATTTTTTGAATTGGATTTACTGATGTAATAACCAGACAATTTTTAGTTGGTCCAAATATTTTTTAGTTTCTTTTTTGTTGCCAGTCATCTTGTACTTTTTATTCAGTTGCCAGAGGATTACAGTGTTATGCATATATTTCCTTTTCTACTCTAATCCAATACACCCACTGTTCCTGCAAATCTTAAATAGTCAAAGAGCATCTGTTGCTGGCATGTTACAGTAAAGAGGTTCAAGTCAAGACTCAACAGAAAAGTCTTGCTTAATCATGAAGTGAGTCGTAAAATGTGAATTGAACTCTAGCAGACTATGTGTCAGGCACAGACACAGCTGGTTTCATACATAAAGTACAGCAGACTGTCCTGCCCTTCTGGTTCATTTGTGGTGGAGTAAGAGCAGTGCCACCCACCCACCACAAATCTGTTACTGTAACTCATATTTTCAGTACATTCCTTAATGGGCTCTCTCTCTCATTACGGCCCTTACCACATTTGTATCAGGTGTCTGGGTGTGCGCAAGTCCTGGGATCTGTTTTTCTTTTTCTGTCAATCTCCCAGCTCAGTGCTTCCAGTCTTTCAGGATACTCACACCAGCTTGTGTAAAAAATAATTCCCTCTGAGTCTGACAAAACATTTGATTGAAAATAAAAACATCTGGCAGACAGTGGAGTTAGTTTGGCCAAGGTGATGGACCAGCATCTGCTGCCAGTCTTTAACAAATTCATTTTTGGAACGTCACCTTGTGTTTTCATCTTATTATTTCAGACGGCCGAGCAAATGGAGCAGGGATGGGTGATGTTCAAAATGTATGCTAAGTAAAACATCTCTCCTTCCTTATTCATTAGTAAAGCTTGGCTCTGCTGAGCCAACTGCAGGCCGATTTTGGTATTCAGGTCCAATCCAACCAGAAAGCAGACTGGTGGATAGAGCCAAGGAGGTTAAGTAAACTTCGTTTAACAATTGTGACAAGCATACAATATGACTCACTTCCTATTGAAGCTCATCCGCAACACATTTGCAGAGGATTTTAACAGATGCCAAAGAACCAGACTTAAATGAGCCTAAAACAGAGACAGAAGGAGCTTTGAATCATTCCTGTGGTCTTCCCTTGATGTTTACTTACACTGAAGAGTCTCGACCACAGTTAATGGGACAGATTCCAGAGCATTACCTAAGCTCAAACTGCTGTCGTAGCAGAACAGTACCCTTTTATCATTGTCATAGGAAAAAACAACCTCAAGGGAAATGTACCAAGTTTTTGTTTTTCATGAAGCACAACTGACAGAAAGAAAGTGTCTAAGCCAACATCAATTTCAATAGCACTGTTGTTCAACAAGGCGATGATTTGAATCTGTCGTGAAGCCAGTGTTTTAGCTGTAACGTGGAAAAAACTGCAGTTTGCTTTGTCACAGATTATAAACCATCTGAAGGTGAAGGAAAGGGCATGCCATGTGCAAGAGCTCAAAAACACCTTGGCACTCTCAGTCAGTTATTATTAGGCTCAGAGTGCTGGTTGCTGTCTTTCCGTAATCACTGGTCATCCGCTTCAATAGCTCAATCTCAGAAACTGGCTCGCCTGCACGTCTCCAGTCCCACAGTTTGAATCTCACAGGCCCCAGCCTTACAGCAATGACAGTGTTTACACAGAGGCTCCTTAGCCAGGGCTGTGAATCTCATCGGCATTTATTAGCACCAGGTCTCACTCTGTCATTCACACCCTGCTGGTCTTTGTCAAGTCGGCCACAGCAGCCATTTTTTGTTGATTTATAAAATGGGTATTTTCTCCTCTTCTTGTTTACAGCCAGACCCGATGAGATCTACCTCATCTACTTAATACAGTCCTTGCAACCAGACTGGTCAAATTTTATGGGGGCTGGTTTTTCCAGCTCAGAGGAAGAGGACACTGCCAGCCCTCACACCCAAGCCCTCAAAAATACACATTTGTGTCTCCTAATTTCTTTTCAGTTTTGCTTAACCATACAGAATAAATTAACTACTAATCAGAAAGCCCCTATTTTTCCATTCTAACTTGAGCCAGCAGATTTTGAAGACCGATAATTATCCCATAAGTTGTTTTGATGGTTGATAAGGTCCGTCTTCTGACGGGATGACATGAGCTTTATACATGGTGAATATGATCATAGGACTTATGCTGCATGTCGATATCATGGACGGATTATGAGACACTGGGCCCCTGGGCACAGACATGATCTTGTTGTGGTCATTTTGCATCTTGTTGTAACTATTTTGCTTCTATATTTAATTGTGTCCACTTGTTTTGTGACTGTTATTTCTTTTTTTTAACTATTTTATTTTCTTTTTATTTACATTTTTTTTTGTGTCAATGTTTTACTTGTTTTTGTCTATGCTATTGTTTTGCATGTCTGTGTACTCATTTTGCATTTATTTGTGGGTGTTTTCCGTCCACATTTACTCACTTTTTGTCTGTTTAATGTCAACTGACTTTCCAACATGAAATGTTAACAGTCATTTCATACAGAGGCTCTGGTCCAGCCCCCCCTGATCCCTTGGGCTCCTGGACCTGTGCCCTGTTTACCTACTCTGTAATCCACCCATGGAAACAGAGAGAGACATCACACCTGAACTCTTAAACATCTATGACTTTTGAACGAGCGTCTGCAGTGAAACACACTGTGTCTTGTCCCTGTGTTCCTAACTCATCCAGTGAGCTTCTTATTCTGATGTCCAGTATTACTTATACTGCATAAATGTTTAAGTCCTTTATAGTTGTCATATAGTTGTTTATGAACCATTATAAATATCAAGAGGACCCCTCTTCATCTAAAACTTCAGTCTAACTTATTGTTTAAAAATACTTTGAACAATGTTATAAAGAAATAGCAATTTATTTATCTAGAGTCATGACTGGGAAGATTTACTTTAAGTTTTCAGTGGTTTCTATGCTTCTCCAGTGAGTATAGAAGAAATTTTAAATAACCTGATCACAGAAATGAAAACATAAAACTCTTACCTGTGTCAGCGACTTCAGTTAGTGGTCCAGGATGTGTAGGTAAGACCCAGCTTGGCGTCTCAGTTGTGTTTCCTGTGCAGGTTTTTGGTCTCCATTCTCCTCTCCTCACAGTCCCCCTCTGTCTCTGCTCTCATCGAGAATGGGGGCCTGCACACAGCTATGGCACAAGGAGAGAACAGAGGAGGGTGGTCCATACCCAGAAAGAGGGAGGCTTACGATATGATTTTCTCTGTATTTTGAACCGAGGGAAGGACTGGCCCTGCCTTCTCCTCCTGGTGTCATGTAAGGTTTAGGAAGAAAAAGAAATACTCCTCCTGATATAAGGTTTCACTACAAATGAAAAAGTAAAACTAAGTGAGGAATCAGACTGGCTGAGAGTCTGTGAGAGTGGTGAAAACACTCAAAATCAATCTAGCTGTCATGATTCATTGTCAAGGTTACTTTATCTCCCTCACATAAACTTTGTCTGTCAGGATTGTAGAAGTTGATGGCATACACATAATCTTTTTCTTTTTGACACACAGACAGACAGACTCATCTGTCAGCTCCACTCATATAACTATATTTCTCACAGTCTACTTACTCCCCCCTCACAAAGCTGTTTCCCATCAGCTCTAATCTAATGACTGAGTGATTCTGGCGGCCCAGTAGCTTTAGTATAATAATACTGTAGGAGGTCTGTTTTGAATGTGAGTATTTCGCTTGTGTTGCTTCTATATATGAGACGTGTGTGTCTCTCGCAGCAATCCAAGGGCTGTTGGCAGCTGTGTTTATGCGGCTGCAAGGACAATATGGAGAGAGGGCTTTGGAGGCAGAGAGAATGCCCCTCAGCTAAATGCTCTGGATTGAGGCGAAAGCACAGACTTTGATGCTCAGGAATTCTCTCTGTGGGGAGACATACAGTACTTCAGCTGGTCAGAGGTCAGTTTTGCTTATGAGTAATCAAGACTGGACATTCATAATATACTGTAGATATGTATGCACATTAAAGAGTGTTGCAGCTTATGTGTTTGACTGAGAGTGGTGGTTGTTTAAAGGGTACCAAAATCAACTGGAAGGGTTGCAAGAATTCACTTTGATAAACATCCTAAAATACTTCAAATAACACAGTTTGAGTAGATCTAATTTAATTTATGCTCACACTAAGAACTCACTAGTGTGCATGTGAAGGGTCACAAGTCCAATAAGGTTGGGGAGTTGGATTTTTTCTAGGCTATAGCACTCTTCATTTCCTCCACTGCTTCCTAATGTCACACCAGAGAGTCATGTTAGCAAGGTCCCCAACTCCACTGTGAGCATACAGTTAGGAGAGCCCCATTCATTCATCAGTGTTTTCACTACTTCAGTCAGCAGTAGAGGAAAATTAACTAAGTACTTTTACCCAAGTACTGTATTTAAGTACAATTTTGAAGAGTCAGATATTGTACTTTTTACTCCACTACATTTATTTGATGACTTTATTTACTAGTCACTTTTCAGAATCAGATTAACAGTACAACATAAACTATAACCATAAGACCTTGTTGATTCCTGGCAGAAACTTCACAAGCTACCCAGCAGTATGTAAAGTACATTAAATTATAAGCATATAAGATAGTCAAAAATATCTTTTTTATGTATGACTTTGCGGTATTACTACTTTTACCTAAGTAAATAATCTGAGTACTTCTCCCACCACTGTCCCTCAATGTTATTTCTGTGAGCCCCTCCTTGTGGCAAGACCAGTTTATTGCCTTCACAGTTGTTACAGGTAAAATAGTGAGGTGCAAGAAAAGTACCGCAGATAAATAGGTAAATGTACAGTATATATACAGACACATAGGAGTTTAAAGAGGTAACGCTAATAGATTAGTAATTGTATTAGCATAAACAAAAAAGCTATTATAACTCCAAACAACCCTCGGTTACGTCACGCTGACTGACCAATAGGAAGCGGTCAGCGTAGGTCAGCTGACCACGTGCCGCAGAACGGTGAGCAGCTGCGACAGAAATCAAAGCAGAGTATTTCACAACTTTTGTTTGTTATAGGGGAGAGTGGATATAAATAATGACGTATCCTTATTTAAATTTCGCCGAATGACTTGCTAACGTCATTGTTTTTTCCCCCGTGTCGACTGTTGTTTACTTTTCAGACATGGTGAGTTTGACCCCGTCCCCTTCTGTGAAATGTTGCAGGTGTTTTATTTTTGCGCACTTGGTGTCAGTGACAGGTGCCTGGTTTATACGCAGCGCTGAAGCACCAGATGCTTTTCTCCACTTCACCCTACAGAGACCCGGTAGATTAGGTGATTTAAACGGGCTTTGCTTGTATGTGGTGTTTCATCTGTCGAGGATAAAATTAGACTCCTGCTGAGAGATCCTGTGTCACTGGATTTGTTGAGCCCCGAGGATGAAGCCTAGACAAATGTCAGGGCCAACATGCGCTTTACCAACGTATTCCGGGTGGTTTCGTGCGTTATGGGGAGTTTTTCTTCAACACTGTCGCCGAGTGCTTGCTCATAGGGGATTTGTTGGGTTTTTATCAATAATAATAATGATGATAAAAATGTCTAGACCTTACTATGTAAAGTACCCTGAGATGACTTTTGCTGTGACTGTGCCGTTATACAAATAAAATGTAACTGAATATTTAATGTGAACAACCAGAAGCAAAAACAGGCAAACCCCCAAAACAACAACAACAAAAACATGTTTAGGACATTACTTCATAAATGTATTATAACCTGTACACCTCAGAATCAGTATAATAATTCATATGATAGTTATACTGTTGAGTTGTTTCATCCAAATTTGTTTGTTTGCGTGTGTGTTTTTAAAAATATATACCATGTAATGTTCTTTTTTGTAAATTGGTTAAATGTACTCTTTGAAACCATTACATACCTAAAGTGAGATATGTAATTACCCAGTAGTACGACTCCTGGATGTGTTGCAGGATGCTGAGGGTCCCCAGGCACTGTGCGACCTCTGCTTGGCTCAGGTGTGCCGCAGTCTGAACGCTCTGTGCAGCAGGCGAGCAGATGGCTCTCTGTGCCTCATCAGGGCCCCACTCTTCCCACAGGAGATGGCTGACCAACTACTGCAAAAGATGGCAGCGCAAGGTAGGTCAGAGTGACAGAAAATGCTCTAACAACATCAGTATCATCAGTTGAGGGAAACTACAGTATATCTACAAAGTGGTGATAGTTGTGTGGCAGGTTTTAGAAAAGAGACAAGTAAAATCACTCCGTGACAAATGTGATTTACCTTTGACCTTCAGTCAGTTAACAGCTTCCTGTGTAAACAAAGGTTAATCACAGTGTCAGAAAATCATTAGCCCTAACTTAGCCCCTCATCACATGGTTTATTATTTCACAGTGTACTAAGAAGGGTACAGTTTACCAGGCTGAATTAAAATGTTAAACTGCTGCCACCATCACTCTGTTTGTTATTCCCTACAAGGGATATTGAATGACACAACTGTTGGGATTTTCCGAAATTGCAAAGAGCTCCGCCTTCGTCGAGCCTCCATCCGCTGCTGTCCACTATCTGCAGAAGCTTTCTCCCTGGCTCTTTGTCCTCACCGGCTCCAGGAACTTGATGCCTCCTGGGTCTCCAGTGGCCTCACTGGGGCTAACATCATCTCAGGCCTGGCCTCCAACCCAGAGTGCAGATCCAGCCTGCAGAGGTTGTCCCTGAATGGGCTACACCTGGACTGGGGTACTCTGAAGGAGGATGGAGGGATCCGAGTTGGCTTCAGCTCTTTGCAGAGCCTGAGGACACTCAGCATTGCAAATACAGAGCTGACTGATTCTGTCCTTGAGGATATCTGCACTCTCCCTCAGCTGGAGTCTCTGGATATCTCCTGCAGTCCCATCTCCCACCTCACGGCCCTCCTTGAGTGCAAGAACACCCTTAGATCTTTAACTGCCCACAGACTATGGCGGCTGGATATGTCACCTGCCAGGTTACTCTTTGTCTTCAGGCAGCTTCATGCTCTCAGGCATCTGGACTTCTCAGATGACCACTTTGCTGTGGATGACAGTGATGGGACAGATGCGAATGAGACAGTGCGACAGTTTCTTGAGGGAGGTCCCCAGATCCTGCCTTCACTTGTTTCTCTGGATATCTCCGGGCGGAAGAAAGTCACTGAAGAGGCAGTGCGAGCATTTGTGGAGGCCAGGAGTGGGCTAGTCTTCCTGGGCCTGTTAGCCACTGGGGTTAGCACCTGTGAAGTTCTTTCTTCGCAGAAAAACCTAAAAGTAAGTGCCAGCATCGGGCACAGAGTTGATGTTATACTGTAGTTTTTGAAATGTGAGAATGTTGTACAGTAGGTAGGCACATCAGCCTGACTTGCACATAAGTTTCTCATTTGAATTTGCCCTGAGGCTCCTTTTTGTATTTACTGAATATTCCCACTACATTTCCTGTCTCTCCGACACTGCTGGTCTGCTGTATGTGTTCAGCTAACTGGAGAGGCTAATGAGAACCAGGTGTGTGAGGCCCTGAGAAGGTACAGAGAACGGGAATGCTTCACACGAGAGGCCCTTGTCCATCTCTACCGTCTAACCACAGACACTGACAAACCACGACCAGATATGCTAAAGGTATGTGGGTGCGGTCTACTGCGTTCATTGACTGCATTCTCATCACAGCGGACATCTCAACTAGGGATGATAAGGTGATTGATCGATTAGGCAACAGAAAGAAAATGAACAGATAATCAATTAATTCGTTTCAATTAAGCATTTTCTGGTTTCAGCTTCTCTGATATGAGGATTTGCTGTTTTTAATTAATTGATAATAAGATTAGTTGTTAATGATAATAATCATTAGTTGCAGCCCTAATCTTGGCCATTAAACACAGCTAAAACAATGTCTATCAAGGCAACTATTTAACTAGCTAATTAACTTGTTAGTTTATCCTTTATGAGGTCAAAATAAAAAAGACCTCTACACAAGAATAGACATACAATATAAGCATAGGCAAACACAGAAATTCACAGTATATAATTTACAATATCATATACAAGAGACATTGTCTTCATAGTGAGAACATCCAGCTGTGCTTAAAGTACCTGAGAAATCTTCACAGGAGAATTTGATTGAAATGTTTTTTGTATCTGAATCTCTTTGTAAGACACACAGTAGTTTGCCCAAGCTCAGTACAGCTAAATTTAAAATGTCTTATAACTTGACAATAAAATTACAGCACTTGGATGTGATTAGTGGTAATGAGGCTGTTTCTTGTAGAGCTTTATAGTACAGTGTGACTCCATTTCCACTGGCTTGGTGGGTAGTTTTAGGAGGTGGGAAGGTTACACATTAGGCACACAGACAGCCAGCAAACTACTTTATTAATCCCAACAAGGAAATTGAAATAGTTATAGCTGCCACTATACAAGTCAACAGAAAGAACGACGCAGCAACAATTAAGGCTAATACCCTAATAGATGACTGTGAGTTCTTTCCAGTCTGAAAGAAACAGTCCACAAACACAAACCGCTGCTGATGTGATTATGAATCCTGTTTCCTGTAGCTGGTGCTGAGTGGGATGTGGAGCCACCCCACCTCCCTGCACGTTCACCTGGTGGCCACAGCATGTGTATTCAACCTGACCACACAGGACCTGGCAGAGGCTCTCCCTGTCAGCCTACTCAGCCGCACTGTCACCCAGCTGCTGCATGCCATGAAGACCTTCCCCAACCACCAGCAGGTCAGGAGATCCGCTCAGCGTCTCAGATTACACACCCATGGTATCGTGTAGTTACTCAAAGGCACAATGTGACAAACTGTGGAACAGAATGGTTCTTTTGCTACCAGCTGATCATCAGATTTTGACTGAATATTTGCTGCTCTAAATGTTGCATTTGGTTTTAGCTTCCATTCTGCCAGCTTCAGACGTACTGTATATGCACTTGTTCCTCAATACTCCATATACTCATATATCTACTTACACCCATATGTTTTTTCAGTTCTCTTTCCATCTCTCCAGGTGCAGAAAAACTGTCTGCTGGCGCTCTGCAGTGAGTACATCCTTCAGGATGTCCCTTTTGACAAGTAAGATTACTTTCAATCACTTATAATATGGCGTATGAGCAGTAGACAAGAATCCAGCTGTGACCCAGCTAAAATATGTTTTTCCTTGAAAAGTACTTGCCAAAGCAACTCAGCTTTTCCCAAAACATGTCTCCACACCTTTTGGTATATTTTTGTAATACTGTGTTCCTTCTATCCACACTGTGATCATGGTTCAGGTATTTAGCAGCCACGCTGGTGATTAACTTGCTGAGCAGCCACGAGAATCCGACCCTTCAGAGGATGGCTGTGGCTGTCATATCCATTCTGGTATCCAAGGTCAAGATGCCGCTCACTTAATGTGCATTAGTCTGCTGCAGGGAAATCTAATGGCACCTGTTAGTTCCATGCCTCTGTGGCGCTAGTTTCAACAGCCAGCTTTATACTTTCATCTAGTCCAGTTAAATGGGGCCAAATTTCCTGTGGGATAAAGCTTTTACAGTTTGACATTTAGAAAAAATGGATAGAATTCAACGAAGCGCTTATGTTTTTGTTTTACCCACAGTTGTCCACAGAGGAGAGCACTCAGCTCAACAAGGACATCTTTATTATGAAGGTACATTTACACTTTCTGAGTATTTAGTTTGCAACTCACACAGTACTCCCAGCTTAGCAGTAGATCTGCATGTCTTTCTCACCTGCTATATTTTCCATTACCTCCTGTATACACTCACTGTCACCTCACTGCTCCCTGCATTCGTCCATCTCAGTTTACTGTTAATCCATTATTCAGTCACCTTTCTATATCTTTCTTTGTCCATGTAATCAAGCTGCTCTCTATACTTAGGTTATTTTTATTTATTGTATTGTAATATGTTTACAAAACTCTATATTGTCTTATTTTTATTCTTACTGCCCCTTAAATCATCCCTATTGTCTCATGTTTTCTCTGTTCCTTGGCTCCAACTAACAGCAGCTGCTTGCTATTGTGCAGCAGAAGGCCATGGTGGGGGTGGCGGACTCCACTCTGAAGTTTGCCCTGAGTGCTCTATGGAACCTGACGGATGAGATGCCTGCCGCCGCTTGCAACTTCATCAAGTGCCAGGGCCTGGAGCTGTACGAGGAGGTTCTGGAGGTAGAGGAGCCCAAAAATACGCTGATGTAGAGGAATTCATTTACATAGAGGGTCACAGACACACCAACCATTTTTCTTTTTATGCTATATGTCTTTTGTGTTGCAGTCCTATTACAATGAGCCTTCAATTCAGCAGAAAATTCTTGGCCTTCTGGTAGGTTCAGTATGTGTGAATGTGGCGTTAATAGGTATAAATGTGTTTTTATATTGTTGATTATGTGCTCTGTGCTATAACTTGTTTACACGCACACAAAAAAATCATCTTAATGTCATATGTGCAGGAGAATATCTACCAAGATAAAAATTACTCTGATTTTTTTTTTGCAAATGTTCCCAGGCTTAATACAGTTAGAACAAGTGTGTCCAAACTTTTGACTGGTACTGTATTTGGCAACAAACCTGTTTCTGATTCTGACAAAACAGTTCCACATCATTATTGCCGTCGTTGCTGCTGTCATTTTTCACACGGTGTCACAGAACAACATAGCAGAGGTGGAGCAGCTGCAGGCTGACCTGATGGAGGAGGGCCTGGTGGAGCACATCCTCAGCCTCCTGCGGGACTCCCAGGTAGATGTGGAGGTCCGTTACTTTGCTGGGGGGATTCTAGCGCAGCTCGCCTCCAGGCCAGAAGCCTGGACCATGGATAAAGAGCTCCACTCTACCATCGTGAAGCAGCTGGTGTGGTGTTTTTGGATGCTGGTTTTCATTTAACGGACAGTAAATCCACATTTGGCTCTTTTCAATGTGTCTTGCTTTTTTTGCAGCATGCTTCTATAATGACATGGAGCCAGCTGGAAAGAGAGATGGTCTTTTACAGGTGAGTGAAAAGCAAACTGGACAGAGCAGAAAGAAAGCATTTCAGGAGCAGTCTTTTAAAATGCATTTACTCATTCTATCTTATCATTTCAATATCAAATGTAAGCTACAAACCACTATTTAAATTATTTCCCATCAATTACACATCCTACGTTCTCTTTGTCACACTATTACATAACAGTTTTGCTCAGTTAATGTACTACATGCGTGGTAGAGTCCTTTTGGGTGTAAGCACAATCGCTTTTTTATGCCTCTGTGCCGTCGGAGTCATTATGCTATCAGATCATCCATACGTTCTA